GGACCTGATGGAGACCCGTTGGCGTTGGCGGTTAAATTGACGAATCTACCTCAACGTGCGTTTCCCACTTTGGATGAAGAATCAGAAGCGCAGTTACTGTCTTCCCCGTTAATCGAGTGTCCCAGGCCACATTTCTCAGCGATTACTACTGGTTAACGCATCACAGCCGATGGATATTAGTGAGCTGATGAAGGTGACCAGATATCTGTTGAGCACAACTGTAGCCGCTATAGAGCATCCAAAACCAAAAGAATACGAGCAGAAAATTGGAGCGTTTCATCGGGAAGTCTCGGCGTTAAAGTTGGGTGACAAGAAAGACCGATGCTTTGAATACGGTAAGCTAGGACACTGGAGGAGACGCTGCCCAGAAAGGCGAAAAAGAAAAGTTTCAGGCGGTATAATACGTGTTCTTTCTCTGCTATAAAGCTAAATGTAATGGAGGGGCTATTGCGAAACGGACAGTGTATTCTAAGTTGCTAGTGAATGATCGAGAAGTAGTATGTTTAGTATATACGGGGACGGCTGTGTCGCTAATAGATAAGAACTTATGTAAGAGTGTTAGTCCATGTTCATTCGCAGTACGAACGGTAGGCGGTCATGCGTTACGCATCACGGTTATTTCGAACTGTAAGATCGTCGTCGGCAGCTGTGAGGTGACGTTTCTTTTCATTGTTATACCCGAACTACAACGAACGATACTTGTGGCGGATTTTCTGCGGGAGATCGGCACGATAATCGACACGCAAGCGAACGTTGTGATCACGGAATACGGCACATCAGTATGTATGAGACCAAGGAGATAGCAGCGGTTAAGCTGTCGACGGTACACAATGTGACAGAGTTAATTAATAAATACGATCATCTGTTCACTGGAGATGGCGACCCATACGGTTATTGCGATAAGGTGAATCATGAAATTCCGTTAAGTGATCCGAAAGTAAGGTCATTTACGACGCGAAGAGTTCCATGTCATCTGGAAGGCGAAGTGGAGCGACAAGTGCAAGAGATGTTAAAAGATGATTATTGAGGAAGCTGATAGCCCGTACAACTCTCCAGTGCTGTTAGTAAAAAAAGCGAATGGGAAGTATAGATTCTGTGTTGATTTTCGACAGTTAAACAGTATGACAGAGTTAAGACCGTGTGCCATGCCAACAGTGGTAGAAACTTTAGATCGCCTACAAGGTGCGAATGTGTTTTCGGTTCTCGATCTTCGCTCAGGATACTGGCAGATACCGATAAAACAAGGTGATAGAGATAAGACGGCTTTCATCGTGGGTCAGACACAATATCGATTTAAACGCATGCCGTTTGGACTAGCAGGTGCACCGTTTACGTTCAGACGACTGATGAAGCTATTACTTAAGAACTTGAAAAACGTGGAGGTTTATGGTGATGATCTCGTCATATACAGTCAAAACGAAAACGATCACGTCAACCATGTAGAAGCCGTGCTGCGACGCATCGAAGAGTTTGGACTACGCGTCAACAAAACCAAGTTTCAGATAGCCAAAAAGAATGTTACTCTGTTGGGACATAAAGTGGGAAATGGTGAGATTAAACCACTGCCGGAGAAAATTTTGACGATTAAAACGATTCCAGCCCCGAATTCAAAGAGAAAACTGAGACAATTCTTGGGTAGAGCAGCGTTTTATAGTCGCTTCGTGAAGAACTTCAATGAGATAGCAGCCCCTCTATACAGGCTACTAGGTGAGCCAAAGTTTGTTTGGTCGGAAGAATCGCAGAGGACATTCGACAGAATTAAACAGCTGCTCGACCACCAACAAATGACGCTAAAACTACCTGTACCAGGAAGACAGTTCACAGTGTGCACAGATGCCAGTGACTACGCTATAGGTGCGGTCCTAAGACAGGGGAGGGAATCGTTGAGTATGCCAGTAGGGTTTTGACACAGAGAGAAAGTATTCAACGATAGAGAAAGAATGTTTAGCAATGGTATGGGCAGTCGACAAATGGAGACCTTATTTACTCGGCCGGCGGTTCCACATCGAAACTGATCATAAGCCGCTACAATTTTTGAAGACAGCGAGAGACCCACGGGGGAAGTTGTCACGGTGGATGTTGCGTCTTCAGGAGTACGATTTTACGATCTCACACGTTCCTGGAAGTGAAAATGTCTTGGCAGATTTGTTATCGAGACCAGAAGATGAGTCTGAGTTGCCCGAGGTCGCTTACGGAGTGCATGCAGTAGAACAAGACCCACTAAGACTTGCACGTAGGCAGAGGTTGGACGATACGCTGAATACAGTAATACAGGTGATCACCAACGGAATAGAAGTGGATCAAACTACGGCGAGTAAGGAGCTAACCACACTACTCAGACAGAGGGATCGACTCAGAGTGAATGCCTACGGGACTCTGACCTGGCGAGAGAACGACGGAAGCTGGCTGGCTGTCATACCTCAATCGTCGCGCCACGACATGATAGAAGAATGTCACCAGCTAGCGCATACAGGCGTGGCCAGAACGACCGACCTCCTAAGACAAAGTATGTACTGGCCAGGTATGAGAGAAGACGTAGCAAGATACGTACTTGGATGTCCACGGTGCCAGCTGATGAAAGGTGACCGGTGCATACGATTCAGTCGATTCCAGTTACCGCGATAGGTGACTTGTGGTCCGTAGATGTCATGGGTCCATTTCCTCAGACATCCAATGGTAATCAGTACCTCTTGGTGATGACGGAACACGCGACACGATGGGTAGACGCCGTAGCAATCCCAGACCAACGTGCAAGAACCGTGACAGATGCAGTAGTTAGACACATTGTTGCAGACCACGGCGTACCGAAGACAATACTGACAGACCAAGGTCCCTGTTTCGAGAGTGAAGAGTTTACTTCCCGTTTGCAACAGCTGGGCATCAAGAGGATCAGAACGACCCCATACCATCCACAAACGAATGGCCTAACGGAGAGAAACAACCGTACACTGAAGGAGTGGCTGGCCTCGAAGGGCGGGAACTGGGAAACGGAGCTTCCACTGATTTTACTAACACATCGTGCTACCACTCAGGAAACAACGAAGAAGTCACCCTTCCAACTGATGTATGGTAGAAAACCACGATTACCGGTACACAATGAGACCTGGCCCATGCACCAAAAGTGGAGTACGACGAAATTAAAAGCAGAGAGGAAAGAGGCAGTCAAGAATGTAATACAGAAGCAGCGCAGTGATGTCGCGAAGTCTCAGATGAAAGAAAGGACGCAGTGCATTACCTTTGCAGTCGGGGACCAAGTGAAGTGTAGAGACAGGAGATATACAGTTGGAGGCGGGCTAGGTTCACGGAAACTCCTTCCAAAGTGGGAAGGACCATACACAATCACAAAAAGACGGGGTCAAGTATATACCATCCGAAGAGGTGATAAACAGAAACGAGTTAACGCCAGTCAGCTCCAAAGATGGGTACAGTGGGACAAGCCGGTCAGTAACAATCCTCAACTAGCGGATGTATCACACAGAAGGTCGGAACGTCTGCGCGAAGTTATTTGACGCGGGGACGAGTACGGGGAGAGCAGGCTAGCCAAAAATGGTAGACAGTAGTTTACGTCAATGGATATGGCGCAAATATTGGTGGTGAGAAAATATGAACAAGACTGATTCAACAACCAATCACAGCAGACTTTGCGTAGGCAGATACAGTTAACATGTAGATGACCTGAAATTCAAGAAACAGTCACAAAGAGATGCAAAGTCAACTTTCTGTGAGAAACAACCAGTCAGAAGAGTGTGTTTGTTTGCTTGAATAAGCCATAATAATGTACATGAAAATATATAAATACGTGTTGATTTCCTTAATAAACAATCTGTTGTCTGGCTCTTGGCTTCTGTCGCTACAGACGTAATTTCAATGGTGTATTATACATAATTGTTTGAAGACTTCTCTTGGTTTTTACAGCCTCATGTTGATATAACTCGTAGCCCTCATAAGACTTAGACCTTCTTTCTCGAAACTGAGGAGACCTGGAACTTAGGCAGTGCCAGATTTAGATGTATCGAAAGCCGTCTTACCATCGCTTGTAAAAACTAACGTCAATCTTTTGGGTAACCTGTAAATGAGTTCAAATAAACTCCTTTCCAGGCTTAACGCCTATGTGAGTACCTTGATGTGATTATGAGGAGTAAATTATGCTTGGAAAATCATCAGTATGTATTACTGTTTAACAATGTGTGACTATCAAAATGCAATTTTATCTATAATAATAATAACTCAAAGAGACCTGGCTTCTTCACCAAATGTGGAGTACGACGAAATTAAAAGCAGAGCGGAAAGAAGCAGTCAAGAATGTAATGGAACTGTAATGACTAAAAATTAATGCCTGGATCTGTCTACCAGCTGCCAACACGGAAAAAGTCGGCAAAAAGAAGAGGATGGAACTCTGATTGGCTCGAGCCAAGACATCACCGGGGCCACTAGGGTATCTATTAGGGTTAATCACCTTGATGTCTCACCCCTAAGCGTCAGGAAAAGTGCGATTTTGGTTATTTTCATTGAGTAATTCATCACCGACCTATATGACCACTGATGCATCAGTCATCTCCAGGCGCATGCTGGATGATTAAGCGAGAACAACAACTTGTTCATGCCTATGGGAAAAGTAACCTAGTTCCTTAGGGCCATACTGATACTACAGACATTCCATTAGTTTACCTATTAAATTTTCCTATTCCAACTCCCGATGAATATCTTATTCTACAACCATCAATGTGGCCTCAGCTTCCATAAGTCCTATCTACACTTAACCTGGATTCCCCTTTCACTGCTTCTCTTAAGTATCTGTCTGATTAAATGGAATATTACCAGGTGAGACAACATTCTTATATCCCATAAGTGCGACAGTAGTAATACCAAAAATGTATTTCCTTCGGAATCTCTGATGTCGTTTATGACAGTTGCAGCAGCAAAAAGGATACGTTGTGTTAGAATTCTCCAATAAACCTGGAACCAAGAAGTCTCGATGTTCTCAATAGTCATTGGACATTAGATGTTACAAGTTTAGTTTGAAGGTTGTGGAACGCTTTTAAAGGGGTGTTTATTGTGAACGATATTATCTGGTGTTGTAGTAGTAAATTTATGCAGCTTGCTTTTATGTTGACAAAATAATATTCTGTAATTTCTCATAATCTCAAATCTAAGTGTTTCATTTCAGAAAACTAACTAGTTAAATTGCTGGGTCACAATGTTTTAATTTTAAAGAACTAATTGTGCTTTGATAGTGTGAAATATTCCCATATTATTAATTTAAAGTCAATCTGAACGAAGAATATTCTTTTCAATAATTTCTCTTCAGGTTCTTACAATTACAAAATATAATATTTGTGGTCGTTACAATAAAGGCCACTTATGCGGTGGATACATTTTGAACGTAGAATAACAGATTAGTTATGGGGTGTCAAAATAAATAGTCGTATTTGTGTGACAAACGTGCTAGGGTGAAATCGGTTACCAAAATATTGTAAAACGGGAGACAATGGTGGCGATTGATCACAATAGATTTGTATTATTATTATTTGTCATAATTTATGTCCTTCATGCAAACATTTCCTCAATACTATCGAATTTTTCATTTGTACTATCTGGACTTATTATTGGTGATATCTCTCTCCTTAATATATGCCTCTACCTGAAGCATTTCACATATTCATTATTGCATTATGAACCTCTCATTTCAGTCTTACTGTGTTTAACACAGACTACTTTGTATTAGCCACTCACCTGACAGCTTTTATAACACCCCACACTAGGTGTTACGAACTTCCCGGAATAATTTGAGCGCCGAGTCAGATTGATTCATTATAAATTTAAATTAATCCCAGCGTGTTAAGAAAATCAAAACAAGATTTTTCTGAACGTTTATTTGGAATCTGAATAAATCTGATGAAGAGGCTGTCTTACATGACGAAACGTTCAGAAAAATCTTGTTTTGATTTTCGCAATACACTGGGATTAATTTAAATAATTTATAAAGAATACTCTTCGTTCAGATTGACTTTTAATTGTGCTCTACTAGTCGCGTCCCAGTTCCATGCAATTTTTGTGCAGTGCGGTTATTTTTAAGCCTTTTGGATAAGTAAAAGTATGATGACTTCTCTTAGCAATATCAATTAGGATCCTAATTATTAGAAGTGCTGTTGGACTCATCCTATAATTTCGTGAATTTTCATGTTTTTCTACATCCCAGTGTTGATAAAAGTGACTTACTGCGTTCACGTAAAATTCAATAGGAAAATGGGACAATTCGAGTTCTTTGAGAAAATAAAGTGAAACATTAGTGGACAAAGCAGTACGATAAAACGTTTAGTGAGTTTGCCTAGAGTGTGCTTGAAGACAGAAGGCAAAGACATCGTCACTGCGAAAAATTTGGGCTCTGCTGTCAACAAGGTGTAACAACCGGTTCTCAGTATTCCGAGAAATCCAACCAGTAAATCTACACCTCAAACGGCTCTCTAACTCGGACAATCGATTTCCATTTGAGACGTCCAGGGAATGTAATCTTGTCCCATGTGATTTAGCATAAACATCCGCGTATTAACACCATTGCCTACTTAATAATTGTGGTTGGCAACATAATACATGGAATTTCTGTTCGATAGAATGGAGTCCTAACAACCCTGAAAGGCTCAAACTAACGTTCATTTACTAAAAGCCCACCCCAAATGATATAAATTAAAAAGGAATAAAGCGGCCTGGCACGCGTAATTTGTCTTAACCTCCTCAATCTAGACTTACACTGTGCACCTATGGACTAAAGCTGCTAACCTTTCCACATTTGCCTTCTATCATATCATATGGCTGTAAGTAGGACGGAGCAAACTGCTACACAGCACATACGTCCGTGTATAGATAGCCAAGTATCATGCCGATTCCAAAGATGGCGTAAGTTGACAAGCATCAGATGAGCCTCTGTATCTGTGCAAAGGTTATGTCAGCAGCCAGTTTACTACGTTCTAAATATGACGAACAGTCTTCACACTCATACCACCACTTATCATTAACCTGGTAGTCTGCGCAGGCCCGTCCTAAAGCACCATATTGCGATTGAAAGAAACCAATCACCTGTCGAACATAATCAGATTTTTTTCCGTGCATTTTTTCAGCATCATCCAGAATTATGTCATCTATATACTTTAAGTCAACATATCTCCGGTAGCTAGTCACTTCTTAGGATATTGATATCGATTAGTATATTTTAAGTTATTAGGAAGTGTTTCTGTCCTCCCACCGGTTAGCAGTGATAATAGAGTTAGGAAAAGATGAAGAAACTCTCTGTTGGCTACCCTTCATGATGTGGACAACCAGATACTAACAATCTCCCACACACCTCCGAAAATACACAAAGCTCTCCTGATCACTATCCACCTCTATCTACGTCAGTCAGTCAGGTGATTGGTGGGATGAATTGAACAAAACGCGGATTAGTGAATGAGGAAGTTCACGTACTTATATAAGTCTGGGTGGCTTTGCTTTTCGATTGCCTACACTACGAAATATCATTCCCTCTTTGAGTACTTGAAAAAGAATAGGTGTTAGTGCTCCGTGGCGACAGTTTCGTTGTATTTGGAGATGTAGTCTGTGGGATTTAGTTCGTATGAATTACTTTACTATGACCTACGGACCACCACGGGGTAAATCGGAATGCCCAACTTTTTCATTCTTCCTAAACGGAGTGGTAAGATAGCATATCTGGCTTGTTGGCTAGTCATGGGATATAGTTCACCTATGTTACATCGATACATACTAGTAGTACAGCTAGGTTCCTCACCATAATGGAAGCAAATTACCTTATAACAGTTACCGCTTTTAGTTTAACCACTCGTCTACTAACTTTTTTATCATGACAGGAACCATTCGTTACTGCCATTGTACCTCTCTCGATCCTTGTGATATGCGTGTTGATACCCGTATCACTGCGGGAAGATTTGTTTTCCTCTCCTTATGAAATAGAATGATTAATGATCCACACCGGTCCGATGGAACATTTCCGAAATCGCATACGCTAGTGACTTTGTAAGCGTACTTACTATTGTGTTTCGTTTTTGAAGACGTTTCAAGATTAATTTCAGTTGAAGCTGAAGTTTAGATAGTTGTTGGACATGTAGGTCATAAGCACTGAACACAAATATTTGTGCAGTACTAATTCTTCGTTGTTTCAGTGACTCAACTTTCTAATGATTGACTTAATCTTTTAGTATGCATTCAATATAGTATCCCATCTTCGTAGCTGTTTAGTATTATCAGTAGAAAAGCCTTAACATATTGGTCAATTTCGAAGTTCATGTTTCATATGAAGTCCAATGCATATATATATATATATATATATATATATATACAATATAGAGATGTCTATGCGTTACATTGCATCTAAAATCTAACACAGTAGTTCAATGTTTTGCAGATTGTAGCATTATGCCAAAATACATATATGTTGATTTGAAAAGTGCGTCTGGATGTGTGAACGTCATCGCAGTTGTTAAATTTTTTGACAAACCAAAGAAAACAAAAGGTTCCGGATATTCGCTGTTTTTATCTGTCACTGACCCTTCCTTATGCGGTGATAAGATGTCATGCATCATTTTTCATGATTCAGAAGAAAATTTACCCCAGGTATGATAATTTCGTAGTTATATCAGGTAAATTTCTTGTTGGATCTGTTGATTTGATATGATCATTCGTGAAATTAAATAAATTTTTGTAGATATAATTGCGAGAGTTCTACGAAAACCTCTGAAACCTTTTGATAGAATTACGAAATTGTTTGATATCCTTAGCTGGCTTAACGATCGCCTATAAGCTTTCTCCTCACACAATAACCTACGTGTCACCATTGACATCCAACTGTTGTTTCCCGTTCGAGTTCCACTCTAGGGCCTTGCGTGTAATGTGAACCAACATTTTCCTCAGCGTATATCCCACTCATCTTCATTTGAATATTTGTACACCAGTGGCGTCTTAGTTGATTAGTTCTCAGATTTCCTTGCTGCTAATCCTTTCCAGACGGCCATCTGGTCTTCAGTATTTAGTAAAGGCGAGTGTTGATAAGATTATAAAGCCTGTTGGAAACGCTCTTCACGACGCACCAAGTTTCTGACCCGATACTGCATTGATGTTGGAAACTCGATTTACATCCTTCATGCTGAATGCAGAAGATTTCTACAATGATTTCAGAGCAATGAGCACCTTTTTTGCCCCTTGGATCCTTCTTTGAAATCGTCATCTATTCCGCCTGTGATTGGTGGTGACTGGTGCTGGTTGCTGTTGCATGCTTATCTTCATCATCCGTCTATGTTCATTTGGAGTCCTCTCTTCCCTGCTTCTTCAGCCAGTTAATTTGGTTTTCGCATACAGGTCTTCGAGTTTGTGTGACAAGATACGTAAATGGTCTGAGAAGTCCAGATCTTCTAGAATCCTCTTATTGGTCCGGCATATTGCAGTCTTCTCGTTCCCCACAGTCTACCACATGATCCAGTCAACCACAATCAGGAATATCATCGGTGATATTAGAGAGCCTTATCTCACTGGTGTCTTTGTTTTAGAGGCTTTGCTGAGTTTTCCGTTGTGGATCACTTGACATGTGGCATCATCATCATCATCATGTAGAAGTTGAATGAGGTTGAGGAATGTTTCGGGGCACGCTGTAGTGTCGAAGTAGTTTCCAAATTACTTCGTGGTCAACGCTGTCAAAGGCCTTTTCGGAGTCGATGCTGCTACTGATGATAATGATGCGTGGTGTGGCAATTTGATCCACACACGATTTGCCTTTCGAGAATCCAGGTTGTTCCTGACTGGCCGAGTGCTGCCTGCATCCAGTGCATATTATATTCCCTCCAGGATGACGCGACTAAGTATTTTACTTGGTGTGGTCAAGAGCATTATTCCGCGCCAGTTCTTGCAGAGTGAGGTGTAAGTCGTCCTTCTTTGGTAGTTTGATGATACAGCCTTTCTTCCAATCCCTGGGTGTCTTTCTTTCCTTCCAAACACTGTGCAATAATGGCGTCAGCATATATCTGCTTCAGTCTCTGGATCTGTTTCCAGTGCTTCCTCAAGCATTTAGTCTGGTCTTGTTGCCTCCTTGACTGGTCTTCATTGTCTTGATTGCATTCAAGATTTCAGCTTTTGTTGGATGATTGGTGTCCACTGGTAGACAGTTGTGTATGTGGTGTTGTTGGTATTTCTGGATGAGTTGCAGGTGATGATCGGTTGAAGAGTCCTTGGGAGTGATCATAGCATTGTTTCCTTTGTTTGTGCTCTTTGGTAATTGGGTTCCCTTGACCATAATTTATGGGTTTCTGCTGCGTTGATCGTTTCCCGGATAGGGGCCTGGTTATCTAATATAATGTTGTGAGGTCTCTTTTACCTGCCGCCTGCCTTTTCTGCTTCAGCCGATAGCCAGTCTGTCGTAGAATTGTCTTTTGCCTTCCCTAGAACTATTAGCTTCCAGAGCCACTCCTTGTCCTGACTCTTCTTTCTTCCTAAAACGGTGACACACGTTTCCCTGTAAATTAGCTTCAAAGAATTCCAATGCTTTTCTACGCAGATTTCTTCAACGATGCCACTTAGTGTCTCCAAATTTCCTCTGTGGATGCAGTGAAAGTATCTCTTTTGGTTTCATCTTTCAGTTCTTGTGTGTTGAAGTCGAATAGTGGTCTGTTTGCAGTCGTTCTGAACGCTTTCAACTTGACCCTCAAGGTTCCTTCCACAAGATAATGACCTGGCCCACATCTGCTCCGCTTCTCGACTTTGTGTCCAATAGGCTGCGTCCCCACTTTCTTGAGCAACATTAAGATGAGGGCTATCTAGTTTTTGGTGTATCCGTCAGGCGAAGTTCATGTTGGTTTGTGTATATTTTTATGCTTGTGCATGCTGTCCTTAGCCATCGAATCACTGAAGGCACTGAAGTCTGCGGAGCGTTCTCCATTGTCATTCATTTCGCTGAGAACCTCTCGACTCATGATAAGTTCACTCTCTGTATCGGCTGCTCCCAGTTCAACTGGCATTCATGTCATCCAAATGGATTTTAATGTATCCATTTGGGATGTTATCCACTACTGTTTTCAGTTGCGTATGTAAATCTTCCTTCTTCTCTTGTTTCGAGTTGTTTGTAGCACTGGATAATTGTAGCCTTCCTTCCTTCCCTTTGAGTTGAATCTTGCTGTTGTAATTCTGGAGATTTGTTTCCAGTGGATGTGAGCTGTGGTCCCTGCTGGTGACATCAGGATAGTCACTTCTTCAGTGTGATCGTGACTGTAGTCTGGATGACCGGATTAGAATACAGACACTCCAGTTGACAATTTGCTTAGTCCACATCGATTGCATCTGCTCTCTCATATTGCGAACGTTTCCATATCTTATGTTTTCGTGTTAGGTATCCGGAGCCTCTTTTCCATCTTTCAACATCGTGCAAACATTCCATGTTCTGATGGTTAGTTTCGCTTTCTTCGATTGAAGACGTATCGACTGACTGGTTTCCCTTAAGCTTTCACCAGGCCGTGTTACTTGTTCTCCGATTTCAGCCAGTAATAAGTTAATGCTTTTTTACTTTTGCTGTGCTATGAAGTTTTTTTAGTGATTTGGTTGATCCCTCGAGGTAGGGTCGCTATCCCCACGCTCAGACTTACATCTTTTTCCTGTCTTAAGCCTGCCAAGTAAACTAGTAAACCACTAACCTACGAGACGATAGAAGCCATTAATATTACGTAATTGAATACACAAAGAGTTCAGCGGGTAGGACTACACGTGTTGGTATGTGAACTAAGGGAAAACAATTACAAGGTATTCCATAATCAGGAGAGAAATTTAGACACCAAATAGAAGTGCAAAATTAACAACATGTTACATAACAGTTATATAATCCAGATGACCCGAAAAGACTAAAGGTTAGTGGAAGTCATACAGTAAGAGTATGAATAGAAATAGAAAAGATAAAGTGTATGACACAACATAGTGGAAATTAAAAATAATTAAAGTAACAAAAAATTCAATAAGATTACATAAATCTAGTAAGGTAGAGAAACATAGACCATACTTTCGTTTTGGATACTCAAGTTTATTTTAAACTGTGTGATAGCTGTCATAGGGAAATAGGACTGACTTGTGTATTAATTAGAACTTTCTTGACCACTATCTACCACCGCTGAAGACCAAAAGTGTTCAACTTGAAGTTTTATGGAATATGCAGAGACATACTGTCGTAATCCTCTTATTTTACATGTATGACAGCTTATTATCCTACTAAACTTGCTGTTGTCACTTCGTTGAAGATAACACTGTCTGAGTAAATTTAACTCACTCAGTATTAGTTTACTTGTATTAAACGAATGATTCGACGAGTGTTTTTGTTTAGGGTGTTTGGAGGTAATGCTAGGGTAGTTCTAGTGATCCACAACGGAAAACTCAGCGAGGCGTTTGGAGTAAACACAGGAGTCAGACAAGGGTGCTTATTATCACCAATGATATTCCTAATTGTGGTGGACTGGATTATGCGTCAGACAATGGGAAACGAGAAGACAGGAATATCCTGGACCGACGTGAAGAACCTAGAAGACCTGGATTTCGCGCATGGGTGATGTATGTTTGATGTCACACAAAATCGAAGACTTACAAGCAAAAGCCGACCGACAAACTGGTCGAAGAAGCAGCTGGCGAAGACATGACTCCAGGAGAACATAGACAAGACGGAGGTTATGAAAATAACCAACCAACAACAACAGCAAAATCCAGCGCCAATCACCATCAACGGGAGGGATTCGAAAGAGGTTACTTCATTCACTTACTTATCTAGGGAGCATTGTCTCAACTACAGGCAGTCGGGACGGACTAGAATGTCAAATCGAGCGAGAATCGGGAAGGTGAGAAACACATTCATCAACCTGAAACCAATCTGGAAATCTTCGTCACTCAGCATCAACAACAAAATTCAGTCGGATTTTCAATACAAACGTCAAGTCAGTCAGTTCTTCTATATGGATCAGAAACTTGGCGGGCGGTTCACAAAAAATATTTCCAACAGCCTGCTGCAGACCTTTATTAGTAACTGTCTCCGGTCTATACTGAAGATCAGATGACCGGGCCGGAAAGAACCACCAACAAGAAACTATGGGAACAAGCAAACAAAACAAGAATCAATCGCCCAAAAAATATGCAGGAGAAAGTGGAGGTGGATTGGACACTCGCTGAAGAGGCCGCCGCTGAATGACTTCTCGCATCAGGCCATTGCTCGAATGGAACCCTAAAGGAAATCGGCGAGCGGGACGTCAGTGCAAGGGTGACATGGAGGAGATCGTATGAAAAGGAGTTGAAAAAGTATGGACTAACATGGATGCAGGTGAAACGTACAACAGAAGACAGAAGTGGCAAGTGGAGACGTGCAGTTGAAGTCCTATGTTCCACTAGGAACCTAAGGGAACAATAATAATAATAATAAATCTAACTCACTCAATATTAGTTTAGTTGTATTACACGAATGATTTGACGAGTGTTTATTTAGGATGTTTGGAGGTAATGCTAGGGAAGCTTTTGGTATGTATTGACTGATATTCAAGGTTTATCTTCTTCCTTCTTGAAAAGAAAGTCTTCTTATTGACTCTGAGGTTTGTCACCTATTGCTGATATGGGACCGTGTTAGATCCTTTAATTACTTTTTACTGAGAAATCAGTGTCACTTAATGTACTTTTACCTTTTTTTATCGGTAAATAATCGTGGCTTTCAAATGTCTGAAATCAGTTAAGTACCTTTTCTAGTTTTTATTTTGTTTTAATCTTGTTTGTTATTACTGCCAGACATAATTCCAAAACTATGATGAGCTTATGAAAATCTTAGTGAATATGCAACGTTGTTTCTGCTTTCCATTGTTTCATGCCTCTCGGAAATTTTTCAGGGATTACATTTATAAAAGCTGCTAGGACACTACCCTCGCTCCGTTAGTTTTCATTTACACACTTTGTGTCCATAGAATAATTATATTCTCTTACATAATCAAACGTTCTCACTTTATGCGTTCCAACCGATTCGAATGACTGCTCAGTAAAATCTCTTAAATGTTTTGAATTTCTTAATTCAAGTCAAATTTGTAGGTAGTTTTCTAGAATTCGTTACGCGTTTCTCTGTAATTCACTTTCAGTTGTCTCATATAAAAATTACATCCCATTGTTTAATTTATTTTTTGTTTTTGAAAATGGGAATTTCTCTTAGATTCGCACTCCTGGAGATATTATCATCATGCATAGACTTGTTGTTAAACAGTATAATGGTCGTAACCAGGGATGTGGTTATGGCACTACTGGTTTTAGTGCTGCTGTATTTTCTGGCGTGCCTTCTGACCCATTGACTCCTTTCAATTCACCTACTCAATGCAGCGTGAGTTAACTTTTCTACAATATTAACACTTTGAATAAAATAAATTTCTATTACATGATTGAGTGTATCTATAAGAAATATGTTTATGATTGACTTTAGTCGAAGAAAAAAATTACACTTTAGTAATTTTATACTCTAAGAAACTTGTAAACTACAATAAAGTGTATTTGACTAACTAAAGTATTGGTTTTTGCTGGGTTTAAGTTAAGTCATGCTATTCAAAAGATAACTAAAGAATGAGAAAGTTCCTAATTACATAACGTTCGTATAATAAAACGGACCAGTGTTAAATGGAGATTAAAATTTTGCATAAGCTATAGACCGATTCCATTTAGTGAATGAAGAAATGAAAATCACTTTAAAGTGTATGAGCTGTAGTCAAATGAATATCAACATGACTGAAGTCTTAATTTGTGTTGGTCGACTTCTTCCATTGATTCAGGCATCCTAAATGTGTGTTAATCCTTGAGGAGAATGATGCTTTTGTTTCCGTATAGTATTAAATATATACGTTCCCTTTACTATTAAATGTTTGCTTAGTGTCTGTTGTGCATAGAAATTACAACACTGAGTTATGAAACTACTAGTGTATATAACATTAAGGTTAGTAGTGGAATTATTAAATTTTATGCGTGTTGTAACTGTTATCTACGAAGAATGTATTTCAATTGTTCTTTTCTTTTTGGTTTGTATCAGTTTGGCGAAAAAGAGGTGGAAGTTGTTAAAAATCTGAAAAAATGGTATACTTCTCCAGATTGCCCAGTTGAAAAAGAAAATCTAAGTGTAAGAAACACATCAACACACAGTGGTCAACTTGGTGGGATTTATCGACCAGGAGTAAGAAGAATAAGGTCTTTAAAAGCAGATGAATTCTGTACCATTGAAGGTCAAGTAGGTTTTTCTATTTTCGGTTTGTTAATTTATTGTACGTGTTTTATTCCTCATGTCCAACATATTTTGCGCGAAAACATTAATGATACAAAGGACAAATTATTTAAACTGTTTAAAAAGTCACCATGAAAAAGAAATTGTGTTCTTTAAGAGTATGTTTTAAATTGGTTATCAGTGAAATCTTCGGCAACAAACCGTGGAAGTGTGGCACCTGTTTTTCAATCAGCGGTCACAAGTGTGATGCTTATATTGCCAGTTATTTCTCACTCTAATCGGTCTCTGCGGTATGATAGTCGAATTATGCAGATCACTAAGAGGATAGTAGAAATCATTTTTAATTCCATTCGAATTATTATCTTTAGGCGAACACGACGGCAAAAAACCCTTTTTTTGTTTATTAGTCGAATTAATTTTTGTAGCTTGACACAACGTGAGCGTGTTCTATGGAGGTATCGACACCAGCTAAGTAGGACGCCATAATCACTGGCTTCTATGATAAGTAGATATGAAGTGCAATTTCTGAGCTGATGGATGGGAACGTTTTCCAAAGCACTGAAATTTCGCATGAGGATTTATGAGATGCAGCATACTTCAACAACGAGATTCTTCTGGTTTCTTGCTAAACCTGTCTGTTATTTGATTCGCATCAGTGTGCAAACATTACTTTGAATGCTTTTAATAAATACACTCACTTGTTTTCACAGTGATGTCCTTGAGTTATCCTATTTTATTTTCGTATTTCTGTGGGTGCATCTCTTGGTGTCAGCATTGCTTCAAATTTAAAAAAGACAAATATGTTACTCTTATAACTGTATCTGTTTATTATTGCTATTTCTTCTAAAGAACTAGTTTAATTTAGAAATCCACAGTTAAGTCTTTGTTGACTTTTTCTTACTGTAGGTTATCAGTATTTATAAATCTACGGAAACGGATCGAACTCTTGTCATTTATATATGGGATGGAGCAGTGTTACCTGGAGAACAAAACACAGTTTTTATGGGTCCATCTGAAAAACGTTTATGTGAAATGCTTCCTCATTCTCAGCATGATCCACAACTGGCTGCTTTAACAGGACATAATTTACAACATTGGAATGAAAATGAAATTGTACATCAAAAGAAATACTCACTAATAACTCCTCAAGACTTAAAATATTCTAAACACTGTAGAGGAAGTAGTATTGACTTTACTGATTGGTCTGTCCCAGTTGCCATTTACGATGAGCATGTCGTTAGTGAGCCTGTTAAAAATCTTAAACCTGGTGATTTGATACGTATTCATAATGTACACGTTATCTCTGGTCAAGTGAGTGTACTTTTCTGTATTATTATACTAATCCTTGTTTATTTGAACTGAAATTTACATATTTTCGTATAATCTTTTAATCGATGAATATGTAGTGAAGTGTGTGTGTGTGTGCTTGCGTGTAAAGGATGCTTACTCGAATGTTGAACTAGATATATCAGGTTGTAGCAGATAAAATTAATGGATGCTTGGACTTCCCAAGCGCCTTCCTGTGTATCAAATCAACACAGAATATTGCACCTTTTTCTCGGTCGGACTCCTTACCTTTCACCTAGTAATAACAGCTTCCACCTTGTCGAATTGCATATTCTTAATACACTTCGCCTCAATACGTAATTTCTTTCTGGCTTTAGACGCAACTCTTTGATCTGTTTTTGAGTACTGTATTATTGATCTAATCCCTCCCTGTTTGCCAACAATAGATTGTTTTATATTTGTGGTAGATTTACGTGGGACTATACAGCCTCGGAAAGTGATTCTATCAGAAGGAAAGCTTCCTTTGCTGAGTGAGCTGTTGTTTATATTGACTGTAAGTTGATGGGCATTCTCTGTCGTAAGTTGAAACTATCAAAGTGAGTGGTACTAGTGAATACTAATCAATCCATTTTGGTTTATACATGGGTATTTATAACATGACAAAGTATTTGGTGGATTGTGGTGAAAGTTACAAACATGCCTTCAGGCAACTTGCGTTAGCTATGTTTCCTGACATGTCGGTGGATTCTAAATTTCACTGTGACGCATATATATATATATATATTAAGCACATTAATATCACCGGAAGATAATTGAAATAAGTCACTTGCTTCACTTATCTAGGACCCGACCAACAACTGCTACCTTGCCGTGGTGGTCGGGCTTGAATACTGCAATGATCCAACAAGCTAAACTGGCTGGAACTCATGTCCCTTCAAGTACTACCATGTCAGGAAAGTTGTTTGTATAGCGGTTAGACTAAAAGCAGTTACCATGGGGTACATTAGCTCCAGAATCCAGTCGGATCAAATGGGTCACCGGCAACCATCGGGATGCAGCTCCTGATGCTGCTCCGCTGCCTTGCGGATTAGACGCCAAGTCAAAGGCTCGGGAGGTGGTCCCTTAATAAAACCACCTGTTTCGGTCTGGGCGATCGGGCAGTATCTCAACCCTCACACAAGAAATGAAGTAAAACAACAAACTATTTTTGAAACTCTCCGCGCGTTCGAAAAAGAAACGATTTCAAGTAATAACGATACCCCAAGCAACTAATGTCCTTCCAACCTTACTTTTATTTTTATACTTAGATTCCTGTATTTTACCTTTGCTAACCTTGACTTCTTAACCTTCGACAGCCTTTCGCCTTTGTCCGGATTCCTTGTCTATCTGTATAGTTTCGAGATCTTAGTGAGTAACCCTCCAAATGGTTGTCCCCAATGCGACATCTAACACGGATATCCTGAAACCGCGTGCCGCGTTCAAGCTAGCCACCTACAATGTTCGGACGCTGATGCAAATCGGACAACAGGCAGGGTTGGTAAGAACATTGGAAAGCCTCGCTATCGATGTCTGTTGCATTTCGGAGACCCGCATTCAAGATCCCAGTCAAGTGCTTCGACTGTCCTGTCCATCTGGAAGTTCTAGTAGTATGTACCACCTGCGCTTGTCCGGGTACCCTGTGGCGTCGGCATCCGGCGTAGCTGGTGTCAGTGTCGCACTGAGCGCTAGAGCCATGTCACCAATTGTTTCCAACCATAGATTTTTACCGTCTTCATTTCAAAGGTTTTGATGAGCTTTCTGTTGTAATTTAGTTAGTATGTGGATGTGAGGTATATGAGGGTCCGTGGTACTGCGTACAGTAGTGTTGAAGCAGTTGCGAAATCTTTTTCTCGATCAAAGCTGACTATGTTAATTGTTATACCTTATTTTTTCTTGCTTTACCTCTCCATCCTCTGTTTCATAACATGCCACAGTCTTTGTTTAAACGATTTAGTTTGCTTTTTTATTGCCGATTACTTGATATGCACAAGCTACTATCCAGATTAAGCCAGTCAAGGATGACGATGGAAAGTCAATCACCAAAGAGGTGGAGCAAAGGAAACACTGGGCTGAACACTTCAAAAGTCTTCTAAATCGTCCGCCACCTACAACGCGCCCAACAATACCAACAACGGAAGCAGAACTACCAGTGAACATTGACCCCCCGACAAAATCAGAAGTCCTGAATGCATTCAAGATGCTAAAAGCTGGGAAAGCAGCAGGACCAGATGGAATCCCAGCAGAAGCATTGAAAATGGACCCAGAGACAACAGCTGAGTTGATGACGCCACTGCTGGAGAAGATATGGAAAGAGGGCAAAGTACCTGAGGATTGGAAGAAAGGATACTTATTCAAACTACCAAAGAAAGGAAACTTAAGTCAATGCAAAAACTGGTGCGGAATTATGCTCCTGTCCATCCCAAGCAAAATACTAAGCCGCATCATCCTGGAGAGAATCAAACAAGCCCTAGATGAAAAACTCCGACCAGAACAAGTTGGATTCAGGAGAAACAAGTCATGTATTGATCAAATCGCCACACTACGGGTTATCATTGAACAAAGCTTGGAATGGCACTCACCTCTCCACCTCACTCAACTTCATCGACTTTGAAAAGGCCTTCGACAGCGTCGATCGAGAGGTGATTTGGCAGCTACTTCGCTACTACGGGGTCCCATCGACAATTATACATCTCATCCAACAGTTATACAACAGTGCTGCATGACAAGTAATCCACAACGGGAAACTTACGGAATCCTTCGAAGTGAGGACGGGAGTGAGGCAAGGCTGTCTATTATCGCCAATGATCTTCCTGATTGCAGTAGATTGGATAATGCGACAAACATCGGGCGGGGCAATAAGGAAACAGGCATAAAATGGACTCACACAAAAAACTTGGAGGATCTGGACTTCGCCGATGATGTATGTCTGATTTCCCATAAACTGGAAGATATGCAAGTGAAAAGCAACAAGCTGGCAGAAGAAGCATCAAAGATAGGACTTCAGATGAACATAGATAAAACAGAGGTGATGAAAATTCCTGGTTAACAGCAACAACAACAACCATAAGTGGGAGGAATCTAAAAGAAGCAACCTCCTTCACCTACCTGGGAAGCATAGTTTCAACTACAGGCGGAACTGACGAGGATATCAAAGCCAGAATCGGGAAAGCGAGACAGGCTTTCATTACCCTTAAGTCTGTGTGGAGGTCAACATCACTCAGCATCAAAACGAGTATAATATCCGGACGTTCAACTCCAATGTAAAGTCAGTACTACTTTACGGATCAGAGACTTACACTGCGCGTCATAAAGAGCATCTCCAACAAACTACAGACCTTCATTAACAGTTGTCTTCGCTCAATACTCAAGATCAGATGGCCGGCCAGAAAAGATCAGCAACAAAGATCTCTGGGAGCGAACCAACACAGCAGGAACCGATTGTGAAACAAATAGGCAGAAAGAAATGGAGATGGATTGGCCATACGCTGAGGAAACCATCAAGTGACATCACTAGACAAGCCATTGCTCCAGTGGAACCCGAAAGGGAAGCGGCGAGTTGGTCGTCAGTGTGGGGTGACTTGGAGGAGGTCATGTGAAGAGGAGATGAAAGCATGTGGGCAGACTTGGAGGTGGGTGAAAAAGTTGGCAGAAAACCGAAGGCAATGGAGACGCGCAGCTGAAGCCCTATGTTCCTCTAGGAATTAAAGGATATAATAATAATAATAAAATCCAGATAATGACCGTTTCTGATCAAGACGTGCAAAGGAGCAAGATTAGGTTGATATCATATTTGTAGCAAGTGGAAAAATAGATGATTTGATGTGCTCAACATTAGAAGTATCGAATGAGAGGAGATTAAATAATTTTCTTCCGTATTGAGCATTCTAGTTTCGCTGCTTATGTATGTAAATATTAAGCAATACATGGTGTTCGATATGTAGATTACTTTTCACTTTCTACAAATCATTGGAAAAGGGAAGGGATGTTAAGGTTATATCATGAGTCCCAGTAGTATCTGAATCTACTTAATTTTTTTTTCAAACCAAATAGACAATGCTGTCGAACCCTTTCAGGCATCACTCTCAAAGTATCAACGTACTTAGCTTTATAGGAACTCGTTAACTGGTATACACTTGATTCTGTAAACTTCGAACTCAGTGTGAACTCAGCCTTGTTTCTCTGTTCCTTCTGATAACGACACATTGATTAAATATTCTGTCCTGTTATGCAACTTGCTAGTCACATTTAATCGTTTTGTTTAATATTCAGCTCCATCAACAGTTCTAACATTTTTCTGTTATGCGCACTGATCGTAAATTATCAAATTGTTTCGCACAAAAATTTTATTGTAAATTTCAGGATCATTAATGGCATTCACCGAAGAGGTGTGTATGTGTTTAAGATTGTGCGAATGTTGTCAACTGAAGTTGTCGGATAGTTAATATTTATTGAACAACTTGAATTCGTATCGGAATATTCATTGCAACAGAGTATATGAATCGTAAAGAAATTTCCATTCGAGTATATTACCATGTCTTCTTGATTAAGAATCAAAATATCATTACATCCAGTTCTATCTTTGGCTGAAATACGTTAAAGAGGACGGAGAGGAAGACAAATGTGTTTTGTGAATTGTACATTCGGGAAATAACAATCATATCATATACAAAATTATAAAGTGTTATTGAAGATACCATTGTTCACATTTCATTACAAGGTTAGGTGACTTCATTAGCAAGATTGCTATCCTTATCTTAATTATGATAATGTATTTCTTTTATGTGTTTCAGAGTAAACATGACGACCCATGTTCTTTACGTCTAATATTACATGGTGGTAAAGCTAGAGAATATGGACGTGAAGTGAAATATTTGGGTGACTCTTGTCTATTGATAAATCACTTAAATGATTCATCAAATGCAAGTGAAGATACTGAACAGTTACCAAATGAAGCAAATCGATATGGTCTGTTGGATAACTTAAAAGCTGGGTTGGAACTAAGACCACCGTTGCTTCACCCTCAACCTGATTTCCTTCTGCCATATGAACTACAACAACCTGTAAGTAACGTATTCATCAATATCGATTAGATTTTATACTAATGCAGCAGACTGTTATTCTTTCTTGTTTGGCTTTTTGTGACATATGTAGAAACAAGTTAATTGTTCATGTAGAAGATGTCAGCTTCATCACATCTTAGGCACCACTTTTCTATAATTTAACCCCTTTTCAACTGAGGCATGAAGAAAATAAAAGACAATTCAGCGAAGAAAATTTTCTTTATCGATGAAATCATCTACAATCGTATTTATATTTACCAAAAATGTATAGTGGTCTATTATTGAGTAATAAAGAGTGACATAATTGATGTAATTGCTCAGAAGTAGCTTTAGAAGTAAAAATAAAAGTTGTAAATTGCGTATTACTCTATGGCACAAAGGAAGAAAGGGTTAGAAATTTGATAAGGTTAAAATTGTTATTGAGTTAGAAGGTAGTTGAGTGTTAATTTAACAAATGTGAAGAGGGTAAGAAAGTGTACAAAAAGAACATATGAGAGTGATAATAGTGAATTAATAATTAAAGCAAAAGCAAAATTGAAAGATTTACTGGGGGGGGGGGGACTAGTGAAAAGGTTAAAACCATGGTAGAATAAGAGACTGGATAAACTGTTTTCTGTATACAGAGTTCTGGGTTGTATTGACGAATTGCAAACGCGTCCTCCATACACAAATGCCAAAACCTCTAACCCCCTTTTTACCATATGACTTCACCTTGTAGATAATTTCGAAAGACGATTCTAGTGGAGCTATGTGGCTTGAGTTCACCAAGTGCTCGCGAATTGAGCTAGTAACTGTCTTGTATTGTCCTCTCGCTAACCATGCCGCATAATGTTCAAAGATGTGTTTGGAAAGTGTGAGCTTTGTGCGGCTAAGTTTTGTTGATTCACCCACTGGAAGTTCATTCACTTTCTTCTAGTTCATAATCCGAGTGCATATGTACATATTTATTTGGAAGTTGACCGTGGTTAAAATGTTTCATTTGACATCAGTATAGATAGAGTTGTTAACTTTTAGATGCGGATTACAAACAGAAACGGAAATTCCTTCCTTCCCTCTCCTAGTTAAACTATTGGATAATTTCAAGCTGGACGTTACTCGAAATGTTTAGACCTTCTTATATATGCTTGAGAGGGAGATAATCTTCTTACTGTGTTACACACGTTGTAATAACACAACACACACATTGTAACAGGTTTTCCACTGAAGTAATACGTCAATAAAAGAATTTATTTTCAATCTGTCTGAGGAATAGTTGTGATAATGAGTTATGTTTATAAAATTGAGACACGATTTTGTTAGTGAAATGTAATGGGAGCATGGTAGACAGTTATAGTGTAACAACAGAAGACAAGGGCCGGCAACAGATCGCTTTATTATGGAAATCAGCACGTATTTATATATATTTCATGTACATTATTATAGCTTATTCAAGCAGACAAACATAGTCTTCTGAATGGTTGTTTCTAGTTTCTCAGAAAGTTAAGCCATATATTTGCGAATCTTATTTGCCCACGTTAAGTCTGCTGTGATTGGTTGCTGAATCAGCCTTGTTCATATTTTCTCACGGCCAATATTAGTGATCTAAATATTGACGTAAATTAATGTCTACCAATTGGCTAGCAGCCTGCTCTCACCACAATAGCATAAGGTATTGCATGTTTCATGTAAAACTATGTCTTGTAGATTGAAATTAAACCTCCCTGCTTTTAATTGCTAATAGTTTCTTTTTTTGTCATTTTCTTTGATATTTGTAGTTGACAATCTATCAAATATACAATCTTCCATTAATTGTCGAAAAAAAGGAAAGAGAGCTTCAAACCTGGGATTTATTATTTCCCCTAACTACACAAATCCTTCCCTCTGTTCCACCTTCTAGTTGGTTAGTAGTTGATAATCTTCCACGAAGCGCTTCCAACTTAAATGTTGTCTGTACACGATTATGTGCCCGAATTATTGATGTTGCTCCGCTCAGTGTTCAAGCATTGAAAGATTGTTTATGGTTAACGTGTAAAAAATGTTCCATTTCGCAGAGAAGTTCTTGTATTTCTAATATTGACATGTAGGCATTAATTGCAATGATATTTTTTGATGTGTTTTTTTTGATATTACTCATTTAGTAGTAACGTGTGACTGATTGGTTGATTCCTAAATTAATTTTTAACCGACATGCCAAAGGAAATAAAATATTTCTAGTAGTTGTTGGTAGATTGTTTGTAGTTTTATTTATTCCAGATTTTTGTATTAGTAAAACTTACTTTTTAGAACATACCAGGCAATATACTATTCTGTCTAAGAGTGTCATTAGTATAAATTAAAGACATTCATGTAAATAAAACACAGAATGATTGAGCAAAGAATATCCTTTTCGATAAATTCCTCTTCTGCCTCTACAATTATATATATATATATATATATATATATATATATATATATATATATATATATATATATGTTTATATACATAGAATATTCTAGATTAGTAGTCAATAACAATATTAGTGTTTTTTTATCGAAAATGATATTCTTTGCTCAATCATTTTGTGTTTTATAGATGTCTGAATGAATATTTTTGCTATATTGAAATCTTCTGAACTTTCATGTAATGCAACAAAAGTTTTTTGTATCAAACTCTTTATTCGCAAACTACACAGTTGGAGACGAGAAACACCACAGTTTCTGTTGGAAACCAGAAATATTAAGATCGTAACATGTGGTGTGTTTGATAACGTGAATGGCATTCAGGATTACATGAGGTTATATTATGTAACTGATTGATATGAGTAGTTGGGAACCAATCACAGTGCTTGCTGGCACTGCACAGTATGTGATGTGAATATTTTTAATGATTTCTTACCAAGAACTGTGTAATGTGTAAATGAAGAATTTGAGTCTAAGTATTACTAGTTCGACCAAGTGGCTGGCCAGAATTCGGGTGATTCTAATTCTTCTGGCTTTCTCAGCTGAGTCAAACTGGGTACACTTATGATGTGCTCGGTCTCAAACGAACGAAGCAACTCTTTGATCTTTAGTTCACCTCGATCTAGCTGCCAAGCATTACAGTTTGTTTTAATTTGATTTTAAGCTCGATTATCCGGAACAGATTTTTCACGTACCACACTTATCGTGTGGGCTCTGGTGGTGATAGTACCCAGTAGTACCATACTGAATAAGGTGGAGGTGGACTCGAATGCGTGACCCATTGACTGAAAACCAAATGCTTAAGCCAATGAAACATATCCCCATTTTTTTTACTTGAATGGTTTCTAACTACTCATATTGGTTAGTAGTAAACGCCATGACGCTATACGTTTCTGTAGTCACTCACTGCAGCCAGTGGAATTATTTCGGTTTCCACTTGACCTGTTACACTCCTGCGACGGTATTGTCACTCTCCGCTGATTGGCTATTTAATGGTACATAAAATTCCTTGGAAGCATCTCTACAACTTTTTAATTCTCGTAATTTACTTTCTTTTTATCACGTATCTGAATTCTTGGTGCATTGTTTTGATAAAATCTAATTACTGCAAAGTCCTTATTGCTATTTGAAATTTACATAAGAGACAGGTGAACACAACATTACAGTACCTTGCAAAAATAACATCATCTCTTTTTTATTCTTTTTGCACTTAATTCTAGACTTTTTATTATCTTTCTTCTTTCAGCATCCCAGTTTAGGTGTCATTATGACTGTAGAAACAATTATCAACATTCATATTCTGTCCTGTATTGCATTAACGTTATTATCACTATTACTCCTATTATTGTGTTTTATTGAAAACTGCATGGTTCCCCTCCTTCCTACCACATGTGATCAGATTGAAGCCTGAAGGCGATATAGTACATAGTCAGTACTATTTATTTCCTTAGCCAGGTTTGTTTGGTAAACTCATGTGGTCTTGTAACGACTTAGTTTATAATCTCTACCTTTTATTATGGACAGTTATTTACAGCAGTTTTTACTGTTGTTTACTTCTTTTCTTTTCATCTTATTGAAAACATTCTAGAACTGATTTTCGTTGTCGTTGGTAAATTTTTCCGGGGACGCACCAAATGTCGTAGCTGCCATCTAGTGCTCGGACATTGACTGTCAACTACCAAACTTTGGCTTATAAATGCAACACACACTGCAAAGTGGATGACTTGTGTTCAAACAGAACGTCAGAGTTATATTTCTAAAAGTGTACTCAGTACTGACCTGAGATATTAAGTGTTTATTATTAAATTATTATTCCCTTATGTTCCCAGTGAAACATAGAGTTTTAACAGCACATCTCTATTTCATCTTGCCTATAAGCTCTCACCTCCTGCTTACACGATCTGCTCCATGCCACTCTCGGATGCCCAACTTGTCGTTTCTCATTCGAATTCTACTAGAGGACCTGACGCGTGGTATCACTCGAAGTGTGCCTGATACGTATCCATTTCCTTCAGCACATTTTTTGGGCAATAGGTTCTTGCTTGTTTTTTCGCTGCCTGCCACATATCCTTGATGCTAACCTTTCTAGACACTTGACACTCATTGTGGAGCGGAGACAGCTGCTGATAAAAGTCTGAAGTGTGTTAGAAATATTTTTGGTGATGCACCAAGTCTCTTAACCATACAGAAGAACGACCTAATATTAGTGTTGAAAATCCAAATACTGTTTTTTATGCTTAGTGAGACAAATGTCCACATTGATTTCGGATTAATAGAAGTTCTTTTTGCTTCTTTTGTCCTGACTGGTTTCGACATCACCATCGGTGCCACCTGTAACTGAAACGGTGCTAGCTAGATAAGTGAAAGAGGTGACTTCCTTCGGATTTCCCCCGCTGATAGTGATTGGAGCTTGCTGCTGTTGCTGGTGACCAGTTATCTCCATCATATCTGTCTTCTCCGTGTGCACTTGAAGTCAAGCCTTCTCTGTTTCTTCTGCCAGCTTGTTGATTTTCGCCTTCGAGTTTGCGGTACATTTGACATAAATGATCTGCGCAGTCCAGATCTTCTGAAGTCTTCTTATCGGTCCAACGTATTCTGTTTTTTCTCACCCCACCCAGTTGACTATAGTCAGGATTATCATCTTTGACTTTAGGTAGCCTTGTCCTACTCCTGTCTTCGCTTCAAAAGCTTCCCTAAGCTTTCCGTTTACGAAGGATAAAATTTCATAGTTATCCATGAGTTTAAGTATTACCTTTCGTTTACACAGAATAGAAATGGATTGGTCAATTTTCTAACTAGTTCATTTTTGTTATCTGTGAAGTCCATAAATTTCAGTAGTTGTTAATTTTCCTTCCATAATGAATAAAATAAATTTTGATAACGTCTTACAGTGTTAAACAGTAATATTTACTGATGACGTTTCGATCACAGTTTATTGCTCATAATCATATCAAGTTACTCGCACTACTTTCTAACTTCGTTTATATAATTCCATTATTTTTCATTTCATCTGTTATCTATAAAGTCCTGCTTATTTAATTGTCTAACAAAGCGAGCAATAGCACTAAGTAGCACAAAAAAACCTAAACGATGAAATAAAACAGCTAGAAGAAGCGTTTGTGTTAAATAACTATCCTATAACATTCATAAGCAATATCAAAAAAGGTCAAAAGCAAAATAAAAATAATGGGGAAACTAATGATGATAACATAAATGAGAAAGTGTAAGGCATCTATAGTTTCACCATATAAGGAGGGGACATCTGAGACTCTACGTAAGATTCTCAATAAAGCAGGAATTTGGGTAACACTCAAACCAACAAATTCACTCAGAGACAAGCTCTGTAGGCTAAAAGACCCAGTGAACCCAATTAAACAAAATAATATAATTTACAAAATACCTTTTAATGACTGTGAGTTAGGTCAACTACATAGGTCAAACTAGTAGGTCGGGGGTAGTCAGATTGTCGGAACAGAAGAATTCAGCTAACGTAAGAATGGTTGACCCCACTCGAGAAGATAAGTAATTTAGAAAAAAAGCTCAGCGATTGCACTGCATGCATTGGCACACAATGTAGTGGGACACAGTTATCACTTTAAAAATTAATATAAGTAGGTGAAGAGAGATGTTGATTGCTGAATCTTAATAATTTATTTAGGCTGTAAGCAGCTAATGAGATGCCAACGAAGTGATGGTACCATATTATTCCGCAAAACTGTAGTTCTTGCTTCTTTCAGAATCTTTGTTCGTCGAATCTACACCCAACACTTGCAAGAGGAATGACTCATCACCAGCACCAGAGATATGAAAAATACTACTACCAATTAAATCAAGAGGTGAAAAATAATGGAATTATAATATTATATTACTAACAGCTTTATTCCAAACGGTATTTGTAGTACAGGTATGGAATTTTCAGCGTGGATTACAATATATTGCATCTAATTACCTCATAAATTATATAAGATTTTTAAAATAAAAAAAATAAAAGATAAATAAAAATAAAAAACAGCTTAGAGTTTACATTTCAAACAATTCACCACAGGATATGAAATATAAAGTTGATGTGTGATAGAAGATGAGAACAACAGTGTAATAGTAACGAGGAAAGGAGAACAAAAACTAATGGGACTATTTGTTAGAGTGCCGCAGTAAGTTTATCGTGTCATACCTAACGGATTTCTCATCACATAACAGCTGTGCCAGATATGGTATTGTGGAATTTTTGTATTTGGTAGTCCTAGCATATAGCTTCCTATAGCTGCTTCTAGTTCTACCAGATGAAATGCAAGGAGACAGCTGCGTATAGAGAGGATGCTCAGGGTCCGACAATATTGTATTCGCTAGTTTCTTACATGACATATGTCTATCCACAATAGTGTTAACCAGTTGGTTTAACGATATCCCACTTGCCCTACTAACGGCTTTTAGTGCCCTTCTCAGCAAAGCAAAGTCTTTCTTAAGTAGTCCAGGAAAGATTAATGGGGAGCAGTAAAGGGGGATGGGTAGAATACAAGAATTTACAAACTGAGAAAGCAAAGACTGCTTTATGCCAGACTGCCTAAATTTCCTAATGTAGAACGTTAAGCGAAACATCTTTCTAGTAACTAGCAAGATGTGGGGAGACCAGGAAAGATCGGTGGAAAAACTCAGCCCAAGATACTTGACATTAGATATATTTTCAATCTCTGCGCCGTCAATGATAGTGGGGCCATGTTGCTGTAGGTCACATTTACGTCTGAAAGTGAAATTGACTGCCTGACATTTAGACGGATTAAGCTTAAGTCCATTTGAAGAGGACCACTGATTAATTTCTGACAGGAAGTTATTTAATTTGGAACAATCTGACTGGGAGTTGACAGGCATAGAAACAGAGAGGTCATCAGCATACTTAACAAAAGTGGCTACATCAGAATGAGGCAAGTCATGTGAGAAAAACGAAAACAGAAAGGGAGAAAGAACAGCACCTTGAGGAACACCAGCTAAAGTAAGTGAGGTAGTGGAGGACTTTCCATTGTAGACGGTGTACTGCTTCCTATCAGAAAAATAGAAACGCAACCACTTATTTGTCCAGCTCTCAGCCTGTGTTGCAGCAAGCTTACTTAGCAAGAGAGACCTGGGAACAGAGTCAAATGCAGATGTGTAATCAAGGAAGACACAGCGAACGTATTTAGCTCCTTTATCTAAACTAGAGACTATACTATGATGTGTAGGACAACAGCGGCATCTAACGTACACCTACTATGTTTATAGGCAAACTGGTTGGGGTCGTTGAAAGGCTCTAAAGAGGGATCAAGATTACGTAAAATAAGTCTTTCCATAACTTTCAAAAAAGGTGAGGTTATAGCAATGGGTCTAAACTTAACATCGGGTCCACTTGTTGATCTAGGGACTGGAACGATCTTGATATTTTTCCATAATTCAGGTATAATACTTTTGGAAGACGATTCGTTGAAAATGTCAGTTAATGGGGAACACAAGATGTTGGCACACTTCTTAAGGATAACAGCAGGAACACCATCAGGACGAAGTTAGAAAGTTGTGCGAGTAACTTGATATGATTATGAGCGATAAACTGTGATCGAAACATCATGAGTAAATATTACTGTTTAACACTGTAAGACGTTATCAAAATAAATTTTCTCCATAATCAAATTATGCTATAATACAGTACCCAAGTTTTGTTCTTATAATAATGTTAATGTTTCTTTATATGATAATTTTTGCTATCATAACTTCAGGCTATCTTATTGTAAACGGAGGTATATTAATTCTTTTCGTTAACCGCTTCTTAAAAGTTTGAAACACCCTTGTTTTGTAGTTGTTACTGCTAACTTTTGTTTCTTCTTTTCTTCCAGTGGTATTTGCGATTGCGGATCTCGGTAAGTTGGCATTACCTTTTTTGTCTATTTTGAAGTTTAACTTTTCTGCCTTTTCTTTTCCTACATATAGAAGATCTATCTGGTACTATGATTATAACTGTTTCTGGTCAGGATGTTATCAACTTACTCACTGATTTAAGCGATAGTGCGTTAATGCCATTCATTCACAGTAGCACATGGTGGACAGGATTAATTTTTGAATTGTCAGAACTCAAGAATATGCGTGTATCACCAGAAGAAGTGATCCTTGATCGATATCATAATTTATTAGGAAAGTGGATTGATGTAGCAGTTAGAGTAAGCTGGCCAAAAGAAACCGTATCATCAGATTTTGTAAATCGGAATGATCTCCAAATTGATTTAATTGGTTGGGATTCTGTATAGGGATATGTTGCATTTGTTCATGTTATCTTATAAATAAGACATAAAATATATTTTTATAACTGTATTTCACGCTGTGTTTTGCCCTTCTATTTTTTTGTTCCGATGTCATTTAAATGCTCACAGTGTAACATATTCGAAAATGTTTTCTCCAAGCATCTATTTTCGACATGTTATTTGTTTCTTCTGTGAGTATAAGCAACGCGAAAATGATTTTAGCCTGAAAGAATACAACTAATCGCCTTGGATTTCGTTGCAATTTCTTCAACACTTACTTAATAAGCTGAAAACAGCAAAAAAGAAAATCAAAGAATAAAGTTATGATGGAATCAGTGTTATATGATTGTGAAAATCTTTTCTTACTAATGTCATAAATAAGCTGCCTCTTAGAATATAAGAGTTATAGAGTAAGGATCACAAAGATTGCTTTAATCTCAGTGAATTGTAATTACACTTAGAAGGGTATAACCAATGCCTGAAGTCTGTTGGCTTGGAATCTCTTTGTTATCCAGTCTATCAGTTTATCCCTACTTACCGTCCCATTACTAAGAATAATGCTGTTGTTAATGCTTTGACTAAATTAGTTTAGGGTTGGTAGTTTTTCTTTGATGTGTTAACAAAATATTTAACTATTGTTCATTGGTATTTCGATGATGACTTCAAGTAGAAAACCAAGACACTCAGAGGACAGCAGACTAAACTGGGCAATATTTATTCATTTACTACAGCTGTACTATTGCAATTGCTTAGTTAATGTGTTTAATAAGTTTACATTTAAAACACATAGTAGCTAGCAGAATCAATACAAAGTTGTTAAGATTAGTGAGTGTCAAACAAAATATAATAGAGATGTAATAAAGGCGACGAAGTGTTAATCAGTATGAGATGGTGTCGAAAGACCGAATTATTACCAATATGAGTATGGAAATAGAAAGGTGTTATTTAGTAAGAATCAGTTCCTTCCTATCTATATCTTTGAAGCTTCGGTAATCGAAATAAAGGAACCAAAGTTTTGTATACAGTCCCATCTCCTTGATCAGTTCATGTTAAGATTATTATTTATAATCCTTCCACCCCACTTGATTCTTACCCAGTGGCACGTCTTTTGTAGCTATGCTCCATTTGAGAATAATTCGTTACTGTGGGATTTTGTCATATTACTCATACCCTTATCTGTTATTTATTCACCGTTACTGTACCTCTACTAAATTTGGAATAAACCTCAGTGATGTTAACAACTTTAAACTCTCCTGATTACTACAGGTTTAAATGTAAAGCCAACGGACACATTCATCGAGCGAATTGTATGTCATTGTGGTTGTACAACTGTAGTAAATCGAATCACCACAAAGAGTTACTTCGATGACTCATTTATTTCCTTTTTTGCTATCTGTCGTAAAGGGGATTTCCCGTGAAATCTTTCCCAATCAGTGACTAGTGTCTTTTGAACAATCCTGTAGATTATACCGATCAAGTGGTGATAATTAATGAATAGGAATTAATTTAGTCATTGTAATCAAAAACCGGAATAAGTTAGGAGAGAAAACCAAGTCAATTTAGTAATTAAGTGCCTGATAGTACTGTTTTATGGTTTGTTAATCGGTACACCTCTTCCTTGCTAATCTTTTTATATACACCGTATTGATCTTCCACAATAT